GAGAGAAGAGGATCTCTCCTGGGGTGTGGGGAAGGAGATCCTCTTCTCTCACTCCGGCCTCACTTTTAAGAAGTTAAATCATGCCATTTCAGTGAAATGCAGAAGGAAAACAGGAGAGACCATCTGCTTGCTAATAAGGGCCTCAAAGTATTGTTTTACGCAGCAGACAGTGGCGGAGATCTGGGGGAGATGAACATTAAGCAGCTATTGATCATGCCCAAGTCAGTCCCTTACAGTAATATGACCCAAGAGGTTAATTGCTGCAGTGGTCAATAGGAGACTGGATCGTGCAATGAATCAGAAGGCTGCAGAGAACATGAGGGAGGGGGGATTTAAGGGGGATATTTAGTGTTCACAACATGGAAGAAACTAAACTGGATTTTTAGGCAAAACTCTTCCATAACTCCAGTTCTTGCTCCCTTAAATCCAGATCTTCTATTTCTGTGTGAGTGCTAATACGCATTGCCAACCTGGCTCCTTTCTAAAGTGTTGGAACTCCAGCTTACCTGTCGAGAAGCATTTATTTTTCATCAGTTTACAGAATAATCTAACACCCTAATTCAGTTGCCGTAAGTGGGGAGAGAGTCGCCTTAGCTAGACCAGCAGAAGGGCTAGCAGATCCTATATTTGCCAGTCTGAGAGGACTGTTAAAAACATTCAGCCCAGAAATCCAAAACCAAAATGAAAAATAAACACATCTCAGCACCCTTGGAAACACTTTTAGGCCTTGCCAATCACAGATGGTGCAAATGATGGCACACACATGGCAAGAACCAATGAACTTGTCATGGTTAGTTCACACATTGCCTTAAGTCCCACTTTCTTTTAACCATTATTGGTTGAATAACCCACAGTGGCTGCGCTGGGGTCATCCAAAATGCTAAGCTCCTTCTACAACATCAGGGTCTGTAGAGTATGGGCAAGGAGGCAAGTGACAAAACATGCTTCACAACCTGATTAAACAAGTATTGTGACACAAGGTCTGCCTCTTTTTCGTACAGGCCCTGTGATATCACATGGGTGTAGATCAGGGGTGATGCTTATGTGTGAATGATTTGGGGCCAGTCCCTCCCACTCAGCCCAAGAGATAGTGTGATGTGGTGGTGAAGATGCTGGACTAGGAGGGAGAAGATTGTCAAGATTGTTGTCAGCCTTTTGGGGTCAGGAAACAGGAGGGGCAGAGTTTCAGAAATACCTCTGATTATTGTAGGGCATAGTAACAGAATCTTGAAAGCCTGTCATCGTTTCTCTCCACATCTTGTACTGAAACATAAATCCAAGTGGTGCTATTTTGAGTTTCTTTATCATGCTTTCCTCTTTCCCAGACCTGAGTAATATTTTATGAACCTCCTCTTCCTCCCTTAATGGTTCCTTCATCCTTGCCCCGCTCCCAGGACTAGGTTTACACTCCATCAAAGCTCAATGATGGGTGACTTGGGTTTGGTCTTCTCTCTCAGCCCCACTTAGTTTACGGAGTTGCTGTTGTGGAGAAAAGAAGGAAGATGCCCTACACAACCCACCTTGAGCTCCTGAAGAAAAGGTGGGAAATAAATGTTACAAATGTATAAAATATAAAATCAACATGCTAAGCCCAAACCAGACAAATTACATTATAATGTGGGGCAATGGGAAAACCATTATGCATCCTTTTGGAGCACATCACACAAAGGGAAGGAACAGGAGCTTGTAGAACCGCGAGCACATCACTTCCAGGTTGGACACTTACATGCAGCACCCTTGAGGAAAAGATTTGAGACTTCCTGGGTGGGGAGAGATTCGGTTAACCAATAGGTGGGTTCAGGAGATGCAGGTGCTCTGAAAGAACCCTTCCCATGTCTCCCATAGGGTTATCTAGGTTGCAGAACTTCCAAGGACTATGAGAGGGTGGTAAAGAGATACAGAAAACCCCTTTTGCTACCCTTTAGTAGTCCTTGGACTCTTTGAAACCAAGATCTGGGAGCCCTAGATCAGTGTTTCTCAACCTCAGCAGCTTTAAGATGTGTGGACTTCAACTTCCAGAATTCCCCAGCCAGCATGGGGAATTTAGGCTT